CTGTTTATGCCTTTCTAGTTTTAATTTATTGTCTCTTTAGATTCCACTCTCACCTGATTTAGACCCTGGGTTTTTTGCACAAATGCACCAGACCAAAACACATTAAAAAAAAATCTTAAAGGTTTAAAGAAATTGGCCCATTTTTTGTGTGAGCAACCCTGCTCGGTTTACTCACACAAGTAATGGGATTATCTGTGGGTAGGGTGACCAGATAGCAAGTGTTAAAAAATCGGGATGGGGGTGGGGGATAATAGGTACCTATATAAGAAAAAGCCCCCAAAATTGGGACTGTCCCTATAAAATCGGGACATGTGGTCACCCTATCTGTGGGAGTAAGGCCAGGAGTATCTGCCCTTCCAAGGCTGCATCCTGCAGAGATTTCCTGCCCTGACTAAGGATTGCTCGCTGGCAAAGGAGGTGCAGGATATTCCCAGTGTTTACTACCAGGAGCAAATCTACTGGGTCCTATTCCCCACTGCCCTGAAGCTTGTCGGGTTGTTTACACCAAGGCAAACAGAGAGCAAAACACTGTGGCTGTGATGTGGGAGCGTTTTACATCACTTTGCACTGGTGCGAACGGCTGCACAAGGCACAGGGAACAGAGGATCCGGCCCCCCACCTTCACATGGCTGTGAAGGGACAAGCTTGATCCTGCCATCAGAGAAATAATCGCCCGTGAGCTCTTCGGGGCAGGGCATGTCTCTCGCTGTGGGTCTGTGCAGCACCCGGCCCAATGGGGCCCTGACCGGGGCCTCGAGCTCTTACTGGCCTACAAACAATAATAATAATAGAGCGGTTCTTTGTGTGCACTGCGTGGATCACATGCCCAATATGAAACCTGCCTGTGTTCCCCTCCTCCCCCACGCACTCGTTTTATAATTTGATCTGCAGGGAGCTCAGACAAGCTGGCTCCCCCCGCAGAATTCCCAGCGGAAATCTCAGCGCCCGATTCCCAGTGACACCGCGGAGAGGCCCGCTTCGGCCCGCCCTGAGGCACGTCAAGGGGTCTTAAAGTGGGTGCTCCTCTAATTCACCCCTTCCACACACTCCTAGGCCCCTCTGAAGAGGGGAATCAAGCCCCCAAGGCCACACGCAGCCAAAGGAAGAGATTTTTCCTCTCCTGAAGCAAAACTCCAGCCGGGAATGAAAAGACACGTCCCTTAGGGAGGTCCCAGAGAAACGCAGTAAGCCTCTCACGCTCCTTTTTGGCAACCCCCTTAATCAGGCTGGGAGAAACGTAACAGATTCGAAGAGCAAAATCCATGCTCCCCTCAAGCCAGAGATCAAAAGCCCCCGAACAAGAACTCGGCCCATGCTGCCCCCTTCCCGTCCCCCCAAACAACACCCCCCCACGCTGAAAACATTCTGATTCTGAGGATCACTTGTTGGCTCCTCCTCGAAAAGCTGCTTTCAAACACATTTCCAGGCCAGAGCCAAGTTATAATCCCCCTGCCCCTCCCCCCACACAGTATGAAACCAAACAGAAGTAATTCCACAAAAGCCAGGAGGGAGTTGGGGGGGGGGGGGGGAGGCTGCGCAAAACTCGCTTTCAAACAAGCTGCTCTTTGGGTCGATTTTTCCATTTGAAATCGCTTTCGTTTTCAGCCTGTCCCGTCTGCACCGAGGAGGAAGAGGGCGGGGGCAAATCCTCCAAGGAAATTTTAAACTGCATCATCAACCGCTTAAAAATAACCAGCAACGTATTCTGAAGCAAGAGTCTGTCTTCCCCACCCTCTCGCTCCGGAGCAACTGGATTCCTGGCAAAGTCTGTCTCTTAAAGACCTGGAGCTGGCTGCCGTTGAAGTGCATGGCGAAGGCTCTTGCTGTCTTTCTGTAAGAGCCCAGGATCAGGCCCCAAGGAGCCCAGATAAAGCAGCTAGGAAAACCACCCCCTCCCCGGGCAGCTCCTGCTGCAGCCCCTGCTCACACCTACGTCTGGGGACATCAGCAGGGCTCAGGAGAGCGAGGGTGGAGGCCCCAATTCTGCAAAGCGTTGGCACATGCTTAAATCCCCAGCTCTCAGTTACATACGTGCGCCAAGTGCTTTGCTGAATCTGGACTTAGGCCTGCACACCAGCCCAATCTTACTCCTGTTTATTATTATTAAACGACGACAGTATGGCAGAGCCCAAAAGCCTGGATCAGGACTTTGCCATTGGCTTGGATGGGCCTATCCCAGGGAGCAGCAGAACACTCCCCCAAAACGCTCCAAATATTTATATTGATTTTTAAAACATTGCTGTTCACACACGCTCCAACCAGCCCCACCCTGGTTCCAGTTCAAACAAGGGCAGAATTCCTGCCAGCTGCAACAGAATCAGGCTCTCTGCACGGACCTGGAGAGGCCCCGATCCTGAGATGGGAGCTACGCCAGGGGTCCAGAGGCGCTGATCGGATTGCAGAATCGGGGCAATCATGTAGGCATCCCACTTTACAATATCCAGCTGTTCGGACACAGCCAGTAACATCAAATCAGGCTCGTTATGAAATAACAAAGTACTTTTAACCTGAGCAGCACCACTTGGGAGTGAAATTAAATTATACCCAATGCACGACTTCTTCGGCACCTTAACCCTATGGCTGTGTAACCCCATTCTGTACCAGTGCAGTGCGACTGCATTATAGGGTTTTGCACTGGTGTATCATCACCCATGTAGTTCCACGGGGGTACAATTCCCTAGCCCAGCCTCACGGTATCCGGCACACCACATGACTCTAAGGACCCCACATGTGCTCGGAAATAACACGTGGGACTTATGTTACAATCAAGCCACACACACAAAACAGGGCCCCGATGCCAATAAGGGAATCAAGTGGTCAGAAGTCTGAGCTTGTGGGCCTAGGACCCAGGTCTATTAATAGAGTTTCACTCGAACAGAGGCACAAAAACTAAACGAGGTCAAAATAAGGAGGAAACATCTGATCTGAAGTTCTGGTTTGTTTTTTTCCGCCGTTAGTTTGAACTAATGAAGAAAACACACGTCCACGTTTGTGTTACCAGCTTATAAGATATGTCGTCTGCAGGCCTGGTCTGACAAACCTCCCCCCCCAAAGCAGGCAACAGACCAGCACATGTGCTTCCAGAATTACCCCCGCATTTCCTAGGCTGAGCCAACACAGCTTCGTAGAGAAACTTTCTTAGCACTAGCTGGGCATTTGCTTTTTAGTACCGTGCAAAATTACAATTCCAACCAATCACACGACAAAGGAACCCCCGAAAGGGCCAGATCCTGAGCTGGTGTAACACATGGGCACTACTTTACACGATCTGGGGATTTGGCCCATAGGGCCCAGGGCACCTAAATGGAACTACTGTGCCTTTAAATTAAATTTACAAGATAAATAAACAAGAACCCTTAAAGCTCTGACAAAGACGGCAAAAGCAGTTACCAGTGACCCCCTGACTATAGCCTTAATTCTGTTTGGAGTCTAATATTACAAAAATAAAGAAGAGCTCTGTTTGTTGCACTGAAGATGAAATATGACAATCCCCATTGGTACCCCCTCCAGTTCCCCTCCTCCCACTAAAACACAACAGGGAAAGTCTAGTTTCACTTACTGTCTCCAAGGAGATTAGCAAAAAAATGCAGGAGACCCTCCTAGCAGGAAACTCTGAATACAACCGGGTTCACTTTTTAAACAAACTGCATCATTAGCAGGCAATAGACCAAGTGATATTTATTTTTAAGTTGCAGCCGCTTTTAGTGCTGATGGAATAATAATGCACAATCATAGAAAATATGGAGAAAGGTGCAGTCATATAAAGTAGCCACAAAACCACAATGTATATATTTATTATAGGTTTCAGAGGAACAGCCGTGTTAGTCTGTATTCGCAAAAAGAAAAGGAGTACTTGTGGCACCTTAGAGACTAACCATGTGCCACAAGTACTCCTTTTCTTTTTGCGTATATTTATTATAGTCTACTTTGACTCCCAGCTACATGTGTATGAACTAATTTTTGTTCCCAGAGAGGTGTACTGCACAACATGAAAACAGACAGGACCATGTAAACACTCATGGAGCACTAAAAATATCCATCTGGCTTCCATATATTTACGAGCTTTTGTTTCAGAGCAATATATGTATTGTCCAGCATGAAAATGCACAGGGCAGCATATATAAACACACATTAAAACAAAGCAATAGATTAACCTAGTTATAAATCTACGTCGTTTCCTACCTATTTATTATATGGTCTAATTGCAGGTTTTGCGCTCACACAGAGAACAGCATATACACTGAATTTCTTTTTTCTATATAATTTATCTGACCTGATTTCACACAAACTATATGAAATACACCTCTCACGTGGAAGCTGAAATTCGATCCTATGAAAAATGGCTGAAAAGAGAGATGAAGAAACTACAAAACCTGAAAGCCGATATTACACTCTCTTGGGCATAGGTAAAATTGAGAGTTATACAGATAATCTTAGGGGTTATAATCCTTGGAAAGCAGGGCAGTGGTCCACTTGTAATCTGTAGGCTCCCGGGCCCTGTTCTATCCCAGTTTTTACAGTGTTATCCTCTAATCTCTGTTTTCCAGGGCTAGTCTATATAGGTTCCCTGGCTACGTTTAAATTTCAGATCCACAGAGGTTTATAATCTAAATCTCCCTCCCCAGGTGGTGCCCCACTTCCAGGTCTCCTGGCCCCCATACCTATAACCTAGCCTGGGAGTTTTATAATCCCATGCACGGGCTGCGTCCCACTCCAGATCCCCAGGCTCCCTCCCAGATCCCCAGGCTCCCAATAATCTAAAACTACGAGCTCCCATGCCCGGCTCAACGTGCGCTCTGCCCGGCGGGGGGTGGGTGGGAGCAAGCCTGGGCCAGCCGGGGGCGCTGAGCCTGGTCGGCCTTGCACCCCCCGTGCAACGTGCAAAAGCCCGCGTTATGCAACGGAGAATCCCATTGAAGGGGGGCAGTGTCGACCCCCCTCCCTTTGCACACAGCCGCCCCCCCCCCCCCAAGCCCCGATCCCCCTTGCAGGCTCCTTACCCTAGCAGGCCAGTGGGGGTAGCCCTTCATCTTGGCAAACACCAGGTCCCCGCATTTGTACTCCTTCTGCCTGTTGGACCGGGACATCTTCGCCTTGAGCGCCAGGCTGCTGGAAAGTGGGGGGGGGGGTGCGGGCTTAGGTAGTGGGGGAGGAGGGTGAAGTTTGGAGGCAAACCCCTGCGATCCGGCGAGCGGCTCTCCCCCACCCCTCCGGAGAGCAAAGCGGCCTGGGGGGGCTGGGGTGGGGGGACGGGAGCCGGTGGTGCTAGAAGCAGGTTGGCTCCCGGGAGACGGGTCGGTGCCCCATGCAATTGTTTGTGTTTGAAATTCAATTGCTCCCTCCCTTCCCCACCCCCCCTCCCGGTGGATGCGATCGGAGGCTCGTTTGCTGATGCCTCGTCCCAGGCACACACCGCTTGGTGTGAAGCTCCCCCCTAAGGAGGAGCAAAAAGCCGGGGGGGGGCTGCAGTCAGCAGGCTGAAGGCGCAGAACTCAGAGCGAACAGATACAAAGGGGGGGGGGACTCGAGAGAGACTCCGGCCTGCAGACGGTCAGGTGCGAGCAAACACAAGTTGCAAAGAGCGAGTCCGTCGTTGCTACATTTGTCTTGTAGCAAAAGCAAATATTCCTAATCATCAAGTATCCAGGGAAGGGTGGCTTCCGGGGAGGGATCTGGCTACAGTTGTTGCAAATCAATAATTGATTGTTGTGGTTGGTTTTTTTTAAACTATCAATGAAGTGTCCAGCTCCCAGGTTGGGGAGGTGGAATCCAGCTCCCCTTTGTCACGTTGTCAGACAATTATTAGTCCTACAAATACAGCATCCAGGTGACTTCTTTGGAGGTTGGGGGGGGGGGGGAATATTCAGCTAGATTTGTCTTGTTGCAAACTAATGACAATACTTATTAAAGTATTTAGCCGGGCGGGGGGGGGAGCCTCCAGCTAGAGTGGGCGGGGTTGTACCATAATAATTAGCTAATGACAAAATATCTGGCTTCTAATGAATTATGAACAATCTGGCAAATGATTATACAGGATTTTGGTCCACGGTTTTCAAGGTAAAGCCACAAATATTCAGCAACAGTTTCCTCTCTCTTTGCCTTGGAATTAACTCAAAAGCTGGCCCCCCAGTCTTGCAAAAATGTGTACACCTGCTTAACTTCACATATGTACCAACCCCACTGCCATCAACTGAATTTATGCCCAGGCATAAAGCTAAAAGCATGTGGCCGTCATCAGGGCCTGAGCTGATTTCAACTTGTCGGCTGCCCTGGTCTTGCAAAGAGCTCTGGAACAATTTGCTGGGTCAGGCTTTTGCTTTAAATCCAGAAAAAAATAATGTAGTTAAGATCCCCATTTCCGCAAACACTTAAGCACCCAGATAACTTTCCATTTGTGAGTAGCTCCACTGAGTTAACTGGGGCTTACAAAGTGTATTTAAGTTACTCACTCATGTCAGTGATTGCAGGAGCTGGGCCTAAATGTGTCTTGTTGCAAAAAAGGTAGGAAAAAATATCGGAAAAGAAGAAAATACAAGATAATCCAACTAAAGATACTTTATATGGACAGAACGTTCTGGTTCAGAGCTTCTATTGGTCCTGTACAAACAAATAAGTAAATAAAGTTTCCAGCTACAGTTATGAACAACGGCACAAATACTTAAAGCCCCAACAATGAAGCTACTTATGTGTATGTGTCAATTTGGCCAACTCTGGCTATATTTACTGTGTTCCTTAAAGCTGGAGTCATAGGATTAGGTAAGAATCTTGGCTTTCATTTAAAGAAGAGATGTTTCTAGCCCTTTCGGTTGCAAATAAAAGCTTGGAAATGTGACCCGACCCTCCCCCCCCCCAAGGCTCCAAAATGAAAAGGGGAATAAAAAGAACCCAAAATGTGTTGTTGTTTACAATCTCGTGATTTTTAAGCCAATGGCCTGCTTGTGTGGTTCCAATTCCAGGGTCAGGGCCTTGAATAAAGGGACTACACACAGTGTGTGAAGTCAAGCCTGTGCGTAAGTCTTTGCAGGATGGCAGCCAAAGTTGTGAACAGACCAGAGAGTTTTAAGTTAGAGTCCATCGGGGTGGGAGGTTATTGAGTTGTTAATGTCTGATTCATAAGCTCTCTCTACCACACTTTTCCCCAACACTAAAATTAAAAGTAGCCAGCTTAAATCAGGACTGAAACTGATGCATATTGGGGATTTCCACTTCTGTACTCCCCGTTCCATTTCATCAACAGACAGTCGAAAGAGCAGGGCTAGGGGTTGAATGGGGAGAGCTCCTGGCAGCTGAGGGCTTGATCTTGCAAGGGGCTGAGGTCCATCCAGATCCTCAAAGATAATTACACACCTAAAACTCCCATTCATTTCAACAGGAGACGGGCATCTAACTACCTTTGAGGATCTCAGCCTGACTGTTTTGGCCCTGACCCAGCAAAGCATTTAAGTACATGAGCAGTCCCATGGAGTTCAATAAGACTACCCAGGTGCTTAGCTGTAAGTAAGTGCTTTGCTGGGTCAGAATCAGAGTGCTGGGTACCTTGCCGGATCAGGGTCTTAGCTGGTAATTTCCCCCCAGCTTTAATAATAATAAAAATAAATTAATAATTAATAATTAGTATTAAAGTAGTGGCTAAAGGCTCCAGCTGAGAGCAGGTCCCCATTGTGCTAGGGAGTATTCACAGCAAGAGACAATCCCTTCTCCAGGAAGCTTCCAGTCTCAATAGACAAGACAGACAAAGGGTGAGGAGAACGAAATTCTATTATCCCCATTTGCAGGTGGAAAAATCCAGATTTAATTAAAAAATTAGGTCTCTATTATTATTAATTATTATCATTATTCTTGTATGTGTATTACCATTAGTCCTAGCCCTTGTGGTCGCAAAGATAACTTCTGATGCAGGAACCAGCTGTAAACCGAATCAGTGAGGTCTACCTGCGTTTGCCACCTGCCTGAAACAATAACTCCAAGAGGTCTGAACGTTCCTATTCCTCTCAATGGGTTGATCATTCTGAAGCCTCATGATGACAATTGTAATGCTAATGCTGCAAACTACAGTATCTCACTGCTGGAAGAGAGGGAGGAAGGGAACCATTTTATCTCACTGGAGAAGAAGCATTCCCAGCTTCTTAAGAGTTTCCTTTATCATCTGTGTCTAGAACCATCTGCTTCAGCCCCAAAGTCTGGATGCTTCATTCCATCTGGTGATTGTGGTTGGCTCCCCAGTAGCATTTCTTTCACCTCCTGATGTGACAGAAGACAGAAGGGACTGTCCCCTACCGTGGGCCAGATCATGCTACTATGACTCTCACTAGATTGTGCCTTGTGCTTGGCATAATCTCACTGAAGTCAAGGGGGCTACTTGAGGAACAGTGTACTACTCAGTGTGAGTAAGGGTGTGATAATTAACCCTCTGTCTATGGACAGCATCTAAAACAACAGGGCCCTGATCCTGGCTGAGGTCAACCCTTAGAAGTCCCAACTGAGATCAGGGTCCCATCATGCTAGGCACTGTGTGTGCACATAGAGAGAGACAGCCCTTGCTCTGGAGATCTTTGCAGTCTAAATAGTCAAGACAGACAAAGGGGGAGAGGGAAAACAGACCCAGAGTGGGGAACAGCTTTGTCTGAGGTCAAAGAGCAGATTTGTAGCGGAGCTGGGAATACAACCCAGGTCTCTGACTTCGTCTCAAGAGCCCTAACCACTCGACCAGGTTGCTGCCGATGCTAACATAATATAATTATAGTTATCTAAGTAAATCAATCAAATGTATAGAAGGAGAAATCACTCCTCCCCATTATTCAAAGTTAACACAACCATATAAAACCAGCCACATCACAAACATAGTAACCAAAGCCCCTTCCGCCTGATTACAGCTCAATAAATCTGAGGCATAGCTGCTCCGTGTTGCCACCTAGTGATGTGGACTTGTGAACATCCCAAAAAAGCTCCCACAGTAACTCTCAGGACAACCTCTCTCCTCTTTTGTTTTAAGAAAAGGAGTACTTGTGGCACCTTAGAGACTAACCAGTCTTTGGAAGCTCAGGATAGATTTTTGAGATGGGTGTCAAAGGGGGTGGGAGTGAAGTCCTGACTCTAACTTCACTCATGACACTAAACTTCCATTGACTTCAGTGGGAGTTTTGCCTGAGAAGTGACTGCAGAAGTGGACCTAATATGAGCTTCCATAATTTTTTGGTTGTTGTAAGTTTCAGTGGAAATGGTTTTCATTAGCTTGTGAAAAGAGAGAGAGCAGGAAGAAGATTTAAACATTTTCCAGCTGTGATGGAAACCCAATCTCTCTCTCAGTAGCATATAAAGGCCCCAAGATCAGGGCCCCGTTGTGCCAGGCACTGTGCATCCATGTAGTGAGAGAGAGAGAGACAGCCCTGCTCTGAAGACTTTACAATTGGAATAGACTAGGCAGAGGATGGGTTAATATTTCTGTGTCACAAACTGGGAACTGAGGCACTCACAGGGGAAACAACTCTGTGAGGTCACACCATGAGTCTGCAACAGTGGCAAGAATTGAATCCTGCTCTCCTAAGTACCAAACCGCTACCTTAACTGCTAGACCAGTCTTCCTCTAGCATGCTCTAACATGGCCAAGAGAGTAAAACTGACTAAAAACAAGAGTGAAACCAACCAGTTTCATTTCGCTGTGCCAGTTTAGAAGAAATGGAGAGAAATTCACAATAAAGATCATAATCAGTAAGAAGTAAACTTGGAGGTTAACCTTCTTTCAGCTTCTGAAACCTGAGATCTTCATAACCCAGGGGAGAACATCCATTTTTAACACAGCAGGGACTTGCCAGTTCTTCAAGCTAATGTCTAGGGGCTGGTGGCCAACTGCAGATTAGCCAATACCCAACCCTTAGAAAGTGGTAAAATTAAGGCACCGGCGTCACAAAATGTATTTTGCTAATTTCTCTTGATTTCACTTTAATTATATATGTTAACGGTTCACAGCATACTAGCAAATGGGCTTCAGTGGGCTTTGGATCAGGCTCCACATTTGCGAAGAGGAAGAAGATCTCAAGTCTTCATACTGCTCTTGTATGTCTGGAGGACCTCCACTGAAGTCACTGGAGTGATACCAGTGTAAAAGCAGCATGCATGAGATTATTATGATTACTGGTTTGTATTACATAGTGCAAGAAGGAACTTGCCTAAGCAGCAAATCAGTGGAAGAAATGGAAATAGAACCACGGTCTTTTCCGTCAGAACTCATCCCTGGGCCACACAGCCCTTCGTTAAGCATGATGAGAAGTGGGACTTTTGGTGATGGTTATTCAGTTTGTAGCTAACCCAGATTCAACCCTTGCTGGTCCAAATTCTAGGCACGGAGGGATTTGGCTGGGTGTT